TGTGTTGGAACTTGGAATATACGCGTGACCATACTAAAACATAGTTAAAAAACAGTAATTTATCGAAGTATGTCAGCATTTTATCCATCCATTTTAGGCAATTCTTGGCAGAATTATGCTAGCGCAGCACCAAAATTCCCCAGGTGCTGCAGCACTTGTCAAGGCCTACCTACTGTTATCTTATCGTTGTCTATAGTCTTATTACGAGGGATCTGGACGGCCTGCGGCCGCCCGATAGTCGGTGCAGAGCAAAACGACTGATTCTAACTTCTAATGCTACGTAAAGTGTGACTGTAGAAGCTCTGGGGAAGATAATGATGGTTCATTTGTCACGATTGGCACTTGCCGAACTCGTACCTTCCCGTTTGGGATTGTACCGTTGGTCGTTCCTTCTCGTTTACGCAGGTGGTTGTACCTTCCTTCTGGGATAAGCGAGGATAGGGCTTTGCCCCCGAAGGGGTATAAAGACCCATTTGTTGCTTTACGTTTGTTTTCTTTTCTTTTCTTTCTTCATACTTGATATTCGTTTAGCAATGCACTTCTTCTGTTAGAAAGAACCTGGCACGTAACATCATTCTCTGCCTACTTAACTTACACTATTACTAGATAGAAGCATAGAAATAATTCAGATTAATTTTCTATTTAGTACTTTACCATAGTGTAAATCAGAGCCGGTCTTGTACCCCTAGTCGCGGCTCTGCGTTTTATAGGAAATATTTACAATGCGTGAGAATGACCGATTCACTCAAAGACGATGTCGAATCATCCCCTTCGCCGTCGTCGCCGTTCCTGATCAGTGATGCCTTCCGCGGAACGGCAGGAGCAGCAGCACTAGACACAGAATTATTCATCACCCCAATCAAACTACGATTATAACGCTACGTTAGAACCAAGCCCTGGACACTCTCAGTTTACTACACTAGGCTCTGATATCCATTATTAGCAACTGGGAAAATCAAGAAAGATAGTCAAAGAAAGATATCTAAGGGTACTAGAATACTGTTTGGAGACTTAAACGTGCCTTCAAGCTATCGTCTATGGCATGATAAGAAAGATCCGAGTTGGACTAAGAGAACCCACAGACGTATGTAAGCGACAGAAAATATTGTTGTAGTATCTTCCTTTCAAGCGTACTCACCGAGTTGCCATATCTATAAGGTCGCGGCTTTCATATTGCGAATTGAAGAATGAGTGAACTCGTCATCTGTATCTCTGGACCAATCGACAACCGGAAAGGGCTCGGTATATCCGCGGTAACTGCTCCTTTGACTCGATGCAAGATCATGAAGGACACAACAACGGCATCGACCCATTTTCCAATTTCCAAGAGCGAAGCTAGTGGAAAAGACAATAAGTGTAACTATAACACCGAGACTGTAGTATAGAGCAGGTAGGTACTTGTCTTCCAATTTGATTTCGGATTCTGGAGATGAGAGAAAACTGTACTCATTAAATTCTCTTGGAGCAAGGGCAGAGAGGAGAAGAAGGATAGATTCTCTACTACGAACGAGATCTAGCTAAATAGCTAGGTGCCACAACAAATTATCTGCCTGTCAACATATGGTCATATGTGTCACGATTGGCACTTGCAGAACTCGTACCTTCCCGTTTGGGATTGTACCGTTGGTCGTTTGCGCAGACAGTCGTACCTTCCTTCATGGATAAGCGAGGATAGGGCTTTGCCCCCGAAGGGGTATAAAGACCCCACTGTTCCTTTACGTTTGTTTTCTTTTCTTTTTCTTCTTCATACTTGATATTCGTTTAGCAATGCACTTCTTCTATTAGAAAGAACCTGGCACGTAACAATATGAACCAAATTAGTCATCCGCCACAGGTCCACTTTGCCACTGGTTTATAGAGCCAATAATATGTCCTTCCTTCATCCAATATCTGATATGGTGTATGTAATAGGGTGTCCCGGTGAAAAGACCACGGTTCTGCGTGGCATTGTGTGGGGAAAACCGTGGTCTTTCCGCGCAGGCAAGAATAAAGGATATAGTGTCGACCAGAAATGACGCACTTCCGTACGTTCCTTATATCTGGTGGTATATTAGTAGTCAGCAGCCACTTGTCGCGATTATATAACCATACACCAAGATAGATCTCGGAGGAGAACACTCCTTTTTAGAATTATACTCATTTTACCCTTTGGTCCAGTATCCTACTGTTCGTACCATACAAAACAGCCTCTCTTTTGTTCGTCATATAGTTCTTGGGAGATGATTGACCTAAGCCCGATTAGGTATAGCCCAGCTAGCGATACTTGCATATCCCAGCGGCTCCATCTTGAGTCCATCACTGTAGCCTAAAATAGTGATATGACCGGCTTATATCCGATTCAGTCCAGCCTAGTAAGCCTGGCGCGTGTAAATCCCGGCAGCTTGTTCATGAGTCCTGAGTAGCTCTGGTAGAAAAGCCAAGATTATCACCCTTAAATTTTCTCATAAATCATTATTCAATTATCATTCCCTTCTAACTTATAGATCAGACGTAGAAAGGAGGCTAGATTATTTCAGTAAAGCAAGAATAGGCCGTATTGCATAGACAGAAGTAATATTAAGACCTTCCCTAGAACTCTACTATATATGTTACGATTGGCATGTTTATGTTTGTTTGTTTGTTTGCTTGTTTGTTATTGGCATTATTGTAAAGCGGTCAGCGGCTAGCTATATTAACTAGCTGTCTCCCACTTTGCAACTTGCTTCTTCTTTCCTTCTTCATCTTAGTTATTTTGAATTGATGCACTCTTTCATCTTTGCAAGACCTGGCTCGTCACAATATATCCTAAATAAGGAAATATATACCTTACTAGCCAGACATTCAATTTAAAATAACTAAGATGAGGAGAAAGAAGAAGCAAGTGTTACGAGCCAATTCGATTCAGAAGAAAGGAGTGCAATTCAAACCAAATTCTAAGTACGAAGGAGGAAAGAAAAAGAGAAACTATCTATGTGCGTACGAAGGGGCATAGCGCGCAGGGTCGTTTTCGCCTGATTGAGGCCTTAATGCCTGAAATGCTGCCTTAATTGGCCTGAATCTAGACCGCTTTTAGGCATCCATTTACAGTGTATTGTAAATGATGCCGGGACGGATTAACTAGGCCCGATGACGCCACGATCATGAAGCATTTGGTACCATACAAATTCAATTATCCCGGCTTTTTCAGGTGGTTTGCTGGCTTTCTCATGAAGCATTTGGCGCCATGCAAAATCAGCAACCCGCGGAGAAAGTTGAGATATATAAATTTACATGGCGCCAAATGCTTCATATTCGTACATGGCAGAGAAAGCCAGCAAACCACCTGAAAAAGTCGGGATAATTGAATTTGTATGGCGCCAAATGCTTCATATTCGTATATGGCAGAGAAATCAAGTAAACCGCCTGAAAAAGCCGGGATAATTAAATTTGTATGGTGTCAAATGCTTCATGTTCATGGGCAAGGCTGGCAGATTACTAAGCTCTCTGTGATGGTAATTCAGGTGTCCTTACTTTTCTGCCAGGCAAATTTCAGGCATTAAGGCCCTAATATGGTGAAAACGACCCTGCGCGCTATGCCCCTTCGTAATGTGCGCGTTCTTCCCCTTTTATGTCCTTGAGTCTCGCTTAATCTCGTTTGTCGATTTGGGAAGGCGCGAGGGCGAGAGCGTGGTCGTTCCTGCCTGTTTGGAAGTACGATCCTTCCCAGATCGTCACAGCAAGTTGCAAATTAGGAGGCAGCCAGTCAATATAGCTATCCCTTTATAAACGTTATAACTAAACAACCAACCTTCTCGCTTAGTAGTTAATAGCAAACAAGTAACTAGTTAACTAACTAACTAAACACATATAATGAGCAAACATTGTAAACGTAATACAGCAAGCCTTCTCAAGGTAAAGCAGGACCTTTATAGTCCCTTTCCTTACTTTAGCCTAGCCCAAAGATCTGCTGCCACTTGGATCTCTGGGGCTTCACGGGGCAAATAAACCAAGTAGCCGATTTTTGGAGAAATTGTGAAGTAGTATATGAAAGGCGATCTCCTAAATCCTTTCGGATCTCCTCCTTTTGTTCCTGTGGAAGATCGAATCCCCGAAAGCTGGTACAGCACCAGCATTCTAGAGTACAGTGACCTCTGCCTTTCTGTCTTTCAGATAGATGTCTCTGTGCACAGCATCCACATTGCCGGCTACAACATCCGCCTCGGCCCGAACAATCCCGGACCATTTCCTTGCGCATAAACCATTTAGTATTATACCTCACTAGATCATAAAGAATTGTGGCACTTGGTTCAAGCATAGACTCTGCTCGGTAAAGGGCGTACTCTTTTCTTGGGTAGTTGAATTTCGCTTCTTCAAGTTGCTTCTTTATTTCTTGAAGCTGAGTCCTATCAGATGTGATAGCTTTAGCCTTTTGTAAGGCTTCCTCGCGTTGGGTATGTTCGCGTAGAGCTTGATCGGCAAGTAGTAGATCGGTCATTGTAGACTGGTCTACTCGAGCTAGGAAACCTTCGTAGGCTAGAGCCTGACGGTGATCACATATAAAAAGAGCCTGACCATCATTACACACGAAAAGAGCCTTGAGATTATCACACACGCAAAGAACCACTGGAGGTTGCGGAATAGAGCCACTGAGAAATGCCATATTCGAGGCGAATAAAAGGTTTGGTATGGGAGGACATGTTGGTGAGAAAACCAAAAGTTGAAGTAGAAAAAGACCTAAGATGACAGAGGAATAATTCTTACAATATCTTACTAGGTCGTTTTCGCCTGATTGAGGCCTCAATGCCTGAAATTTGGCCTGAATTCAGACCGCTTTTACCCTGTAGACACCTAACTATTTACAGTATACGGAGTAGTTAGTTAGTTAGCGACCAAATGCCAAATGCCTGACTTTTAGGTTCGATGCATGAATGTGCCTGAATATGCCTGAATTTCACCAGTGCCCTAGGAAAGGAAAAAAAAGAAAAAACGAAAACAACGAAGAAAAAGTAAAAAAGCTCGAAAAAAACCCCCTTTGGACGGAATTAAGTACGTTGGATGTTGACGTACGCCTCCTTGGCATTATTGATCATTGTAAGAATACAATTGAACTGGGCCTGGCGGTCGTCGGCCGTGGTAGTTGGGATAAATGCCCGAGCAGGGACGACAAGCTCGGCAAAGTTATCTGCCTGTATTGCGTTGTGGATAGCTTCATTTCGGGAATCGCTGAGGCCGACCTCTGCCTGCATCTGTCGAACATACTGTTCCAAGCGTTGTAAAGCCGCTAGGCCGCTTTCGGCCTGCTCGCGGTGAGTCAGGACACGAACTTCCATAGAGGATTGAGATGAGCGGTTGCGCTGGTGACCATGGGGAGTTCCGGGAATAAGAGGTAACTGAAAATAATTGCAACGGGTCGCCCGCCCGTTCCATTGGCAGTTTCCGCAGGCTGTCACAACACGATTAAGATCGTGGAAGCGGATACACTTGGCCCAAGGACCATTGTTTTGTAGACAACTGGTGCATTCTTGCACAGATACTTCTCCCACAATCTGGATGAGGATTGATTCTACATTTGCTGCCCTGCTGCCGATACGCTCATCAAGGCGTTTACCGGTATAGTTGGTTGTTGATCGTTGCAGAGGCTCTCTGACTGGAGTCGCTTGTTTGAGCTGCATAAGTGCTTGTGTCTTTATTTTCCTGGCGTTTCTCGCCACCTTCCATGGCAGTGTCATGGCGTATTCAGCCCAGGGACCAGGAGTCGTATCTTGGCTCCCGGCCTCCCCGGCGGGAATTTGGCTCGGGGCCCCAACTTCGTGACGGCCAGATTCCTCTGGCAGGCAGCTTGCATCATCGTTAGCCATTGATCTGAACTTACCTGGGACGGATTCTTACTATCTGCTGTCATCTTCGGCAATGACTTGTCGCTGGTTTGGAAGCCTGGGCTGTTGTGTTGGTGGGGGTGTCTCTGGCATGATGTTGGGAGATGGGATAGGAGCCAAGATGGGATGGCAGTCAAAAAGAGAAAGGAGTCAAGATGAGACAGGAGTCAAGATGAGACAGGAGTCAAGATGAGACAGGCGTCAAAAAGAGACAGGCGTCAAAAAGAGACAGGAGTCAAGATGGGATAGCAGTCAAGGTTGAATTGAAAAGAGAGAGTGAACGAGGCTAAGTTGAGAAGAGACCCGCTGGCGTCGACATCGACCTCCTCCTTGGGGTAGGCCTGCAGAATAATAGCTTCCTATGTAGGGGCGTGTTATTGTTCTGGTCTGTTATTGTTCTGGTGGGAGATCTCCCATTGTTAGAGACTATCTTTTATTCTTTACATTCAGCCCTCCCATATACCACTTCAAGTTATCCCACTCATATTTAATATCATCACAATCAACCATGGAGTTGCCCTCCAAAACATTCCCTGCACCCGTGGTTGGAGAGGATGAAGACCAGCCTGGATTCTGGGCATACAGTGCTCTCAATAACCCATGGCCTCGCGGGCGACGAGTTCGTGAACGCCCGGGGACTTTGCTACATACACTGCGAACCGCACCACTTCGTCGTGAGCCAGGCTTACGTACTCTGAAAAATGGGGAGGATTTCTATTATACCGTCGGTACCAAGACCGCGAATATTGAAGCTCTGCTGGTACAATCGGTTGGGGAAAGAATTGATATTGGGGAAGCATGCGATTTTTGCCAACGATCTCAAGGGCCATTCACTTCATGCGTTATTGCAGCTGACCTTCGACACCTGCGACCAACATGCGCAAACTGCCATTGGGGATCGAAGGGAAAGCAGTGTAGCTTCATTGCACAGCCCCCTATTGCTCATACATCAATCCAGCAAACCGCCACGCCCGAGATACCCAAGACGCTCAAGGAGCTAGATGAGACACTGGCAAAGGAGATCCTTGCTCGGGACTCGGTGATGGCGGTGCTGCACGACTATGATCGGCGAATCGAAGAACTTTTAGCCACAAAGGCTACTATGCAGGCTAGTGAACAGCGGGAGAACACTGCTAGTGCCAATCTTCATAATTAGACAGTGTACCCCCAGTGTACCCACGGTTGATCCACGGTTGATCCACGGTTGGCCTTAGGTTGGCCTTAGGTTGGCCTTAGGTTGACTTCAGGTCAACCCTTAGCTGGTAATACATTCATGTGTCTTTTCTGTCTTTTGCTCCGTCACTAGTCACAATAATGAACTGTATAACAGAAATGCGAGGTAGGCGTCTCTGATTTCTGCTCCGTCGCTGTTGGTTGCGATATTCGATAGGGTCGTGTTCATGTAACCGGGCAGTCTAGCTTGGGTGATTCGGTCGAACAGAGCTGCAGCCTGCGAGCCCGTCATTTAGTGCTCGCCGGCTAGACGTAGGAACGTCTGAGCTTTTTTACTAGATGTACAGCTGGCAGCAAGAGCTTCTAGGCGGCTCGCTGCTGTCATAAGTGTTGGGAATGATTGGGTAGCTTCCAGCCTAGCCAGGTTGTAGAACGATTGCAGCGTGGGCAGGCTTTGTACGGTTCCGAGCGGTTGTATTTCCGGTGTGGGGATGCGGGTCGCTTCGATCTGGTTGATCCATTGTTCGCTATCGGTCATTGTAGCTGCGTCCTTGGTTATTCTGGTTACTGTTCGCTCCGACTGCTTTGGTTTAGTTACCGCTTGTTTTGCTGTAGCGGTCGGTGGCTGCATTGCTGCTGTAGTTGGTTCTGTAGGGTCCGGAGTGGAGGCTGCGCTGGGTGTTGAGGACGGTACAGGGTGACTGGTCTTTTGTGGTTGTCTTGTGGCGTTTCGACGCCGGTGCGGCTACGATGATTGTTGCTGTCCGTGTTGTAGTCAGACTTTAGAAATAGTAGTGGTCGAAGGGAGCTTTTCCCCAACCCACCTGACTCTCACCCACTCGTTTTCCATCCCAACCCTTCTCACAACAACAACACCACCACCACCACCACCATCACCACTACCACCACTATCATGGCTCCCAAGAAGCTTTTCCGCAGGCATGCTCTTGGGCTTATCGAAGTGGCCCTAAAGTGGCTTTCAGCCACAAGCAACGTCTCGAAGGTGGAAATTGACGAGATGAGAGAAACGCTAGAGCAAGCTAAGAAGGCAGCTGCACGCGACCAAAAACTACCTGGAGTAGCCGTGGGCGACCTGACCCTAGAGGAGGTCGAGACCATTTTCGGTCTTAAGAAGTTGACTCCGAGAAACGAGCAGCCAGGCGATATGTGGGACTTGGAGCCCTATGATATCCACGGACTACGAGATCCCGAAGACTTCCATGAATTCTCTACCTTCCTCGGTAAGTCCCCTCTTCTCTTATAAATAGGGTGTTTACTCATTCACTAAACTAGAGAGAGCCCTTGAGTACCTGGAAATCGCACATGATGGCTCCACTAAAGTCGAAGCGCAAGTCCGTGCACGCCTCGACATAATACTCGGATTGGTTCTAGGATTCGCCAAGGAAGACGGTCGGATCATCACTGGAAACTCGGTGTCGTGGGGCTATGAGACCCCGTTCTGGAAGACGGTCCGGATGAAGTCTCGAGAGAAGATGCTGCGTGGTCAACCCGACTACGCGCTCTGGTACGGAGCGCAGGCCAACCTCGAGACTAACCTTGTTATTGTGGAAGCTAAGTCTCGGGAGAAGCTGGGTAAGGGCGAACGCCAGTTACTTGGCTATATGGGTACGTCTGAAGTATCATACTAGAAACATCGCTAATCGGATTGCTAGGCCTCGTTCATGCCGGCCGTATCGAGCGGGGGAAGATAGATACAACAGTCTACGGGATCTCAACAGATAGCGTGACCTTTAACTTCTACCGCATCAACAAAAGCAGCAAGGTGAGTTAGCAAGTACTTCTTTATATCTTGCTACTACTATGTTCTAACATCCTGAAAGTGGTGCTCAAAGGCCCTGATCTGGGGATATACCCTGGAGGAGAACAAGACTATAGTTCTCTTGCTCCTTACAATTATGGATTTAGCATCATCTCAATCTCCAGGGCATTCCCGTGAGCCTACCTCCCACGACCGTCAATTCAGTAGCTCGGCTGGTGAGGATGTCCTTATGACAGAGTAGTAGTGATACGATCATACACTCGGCGTTATCTCAATCAATCAATCAAAGTTCAATTAACCTGTTGCAGTCTAACTAGTTACGTATGACTATGCAGGCGCTTCTCCAGCCTACAGCACTAGTGCTGCATGTGACGTGCCAGGTCGATCAATAAAGAAAGAGTGCATATACAACAGAAGAGTGTATTCCGACGAAGATAACTAAGATAAGGAAGAGAGAAGAAGCAAGTGCAGAAGTGGGAGAGGGCCTGCTTATATAGCCGGCACTCTGTAACGCTGCAAATAACAAACATGCAAACCATACAAACATAGCGATCGTAACACTGCAGTACTAAACCAAGGCTCAATAAAAAGGGAAGAAGTAGGGTCCTATAAATAAGGGGTTAGAGATACTATAACTTTAAAGCTAGGGGAGTATTAAAGAGGTACCAGCTACCCGTAAGCGACCACTCGGGGTGGTGACGCATACGGGTTATAGTTTGCTGAGCGTGGACGAACCAAAGTCTGTCCTAATGTGACCTACTGTATGGAGTAGCCTAGGTTATATACTCTATATGAGCCTTTAGGCGGTAGGGGTAGGCTTATCTGCTTATTTACTTACTTACTTGCTTAATGGCCTGCAGCCGGCTTAGTGGCTACGCCGCGGTTTACTTATTTACTGCAGTGGTTTCCAGAGCAGGATGACTAAGCGGCTATGTGACATAACTAAAAGCACTCCCGAGGCATAGATAGCAACGCAGACACCTTCCACTTCTCTTCTCAGTAGTCACCCCATGGTGTTCTCCTCTCTAGCACCCTACTACTCCCAGTGACGACTCTGCTCTCACACCTGTTTCGCAGGCAGGGCTGTCGGTGCCCCTATCCTAGGGACTCTTCAATAAGTAGGATCAGGTGACTAGATATATAAAAAGGATAATAACGAGAAATATATTATAACTAAGCAACTTAATCAACTCAATCATCCAATTCATGTAGTCTACTTACACATCAACTGTCCAATCTAACAGCCTTATATGTCTTAACATTATCATTCAATACGGACAACAGTACCAAAATTCCCCAGGTGCTGCAGCACTTATCAAGGCCTAACTATATGGTCCGGCCACTACATACCCATGAGCATACCTCCCACGACTATCCATTCATTAGCTCTGCCGGTGAGGATATCTCTATAGCGGACCGGTAGGAATGAGTACCATTTTTAGCTAAAAATATGTATTGCTTTGGTTTTCAATGAACATCTTGTTTCGTCACTTCATTTAACGTACATATCCTTAGAAATCTAGGTCACCGGCATCGGAATAGAAATCTGCCCAGGCACAAGACTCATCCAAATACGACAGAGCCAAAAATGTAACTTCCTAGCACCATGATTGCTAACCCATTGTCCTCGAACGCATCCACATTCTAGAATAAAAAACACAATGTCACAGTCCCGCAGATATATTGAGGTAGTATATGCTACCTGGCTCCTCGAGATTTCTCCGTACCTCTCGTTATCTGTTGGATATTCTTTATCCCAAGGATTCAATTGTAGTTGCCTTTCACGAATAAATCCGTACCAGAGTAGTCCTTCATCTAGCAGAGGGTGAACTTCATTCAAGATATTCGTACAAGGGAGTACCACGTCACGTATTCGTAAATAGCCTTGGCTACCCCTCGGTTGAACTTTCACTTCGGTATATGCCGGACCATCCACGGCCTTTCCATCTTTCTCTATAAATCCAATACACGATCGAGGAGGCTGCTGAAATAACATTCGTTTCCAGCTTGCGCCTTTTCGGAGAAAGACTTCGTCGCTCTGAGGATCGATCTGAGGTATCTTCGCCCCTCCTTCTACTAGCGGCGCTTTCCATTTGTGCGCTTGTCTTGCGCAAAACCATGGCCATATACATTCTTCTAGCAACGGGTTGCGAATTCCCGGCGTCCCGCGTGGTAGAGTATAATTGACGGGCTTAAAAAACAGGGCAGCCTGTAAGTCGCTCGAGTCCCGAATCAGGAAGTGCCATTTACGGCAGACTCTTTGAGCGGATGCGAGTAAAGTGCGCGTGTTAGTTGCGAGTAGGATCAGTTCAAGGATTTCCGTTATCAGGAAAACCTTGTGCGGCTCTAATGAAGCCATATCACAGAGATTTAGGGACGATTCTGTTGAAGGACGATAACTCAATAGACAGATATTTTCTAATGAGGGACAGTTATTAAAAAGAGTGTGTCAGAGAGACGTCCGTTCCCTCTATGGTACTACGGACAAGTTCATACCTAAAATAGCTTAGTGGTATGCACTTCCGTAGCCTCGCTAGTATACGGCGCGTTGAACTTTGCTGTGGACTAGGAACCGGCGTAGGTACGTACCTAGGCCGAACTACATGTCTGATAGAAGGGTATATATAATTTTCTAGATTAGTGAGCCCTAGATTTTAGATAGAGATAGGATGATTTTACATGGACTACTTGACTTACGCTGTTACGAGATAGAAGCATTTGGTAGAAATAATTCAGATTAATTTTGTATTTGGTACTTTACCATAGTGCAAATCAGAGCCGGTCTTATACCCCTAGTCGCGGCTCTGCGTTTTATAGGAAATATTTACAATACGTGAGAATGGTCGATTTACTTAAAAAGACGATGTCGAATCATCCCTTTCGCCGTTATCGCCGTTCCTGATTAGTGATGGATGCCTTCCGCGGAACGGCACGAGTAGATACAGAATTATTTATCACACAGATCGTCGAAGAGATAACGATACAAATCCATTACCGGCGCAAGATAGGTGTACCCACAAATTGCCAAAGAAGCTAGGAAGCTAAGGGAGTAGAAAGCCGGCCATTGGTACTCGGCATACCATACAAGAGTGTATATTACAGTTAGTTAGCGATGTCCGCACAGATTGTTGAAATTGCGGGTTTTGTCATTTTAGAAAAGTTAAGAGTTCTTAATATCATCCAGGAGAGCCAGAAAGTTGAAGGGCGATAGGGAGGACTTTATAGAACCACGCACAACGATACACAGCGGTAGGCCTAATAACGTAATTTACGGAAAGAATTTCATTCATCCGATATGGTATAAGCTAGGGGTACAGCGGAAAGACCACGTTTGTACATGGTATTGTGGGAGATAATCGTGGTGATTCCGTATAGGGGATTTTATAGATCTTGTCGAATTTCGTACAGCGTAATTTACCACTAGACCTTAACAAAAACCAAGGTTCCTGTTTAGGGCCTAGAGGGGTCATATCCCATTCTTGACAGATCTAATTAGGACTAGTGCCATATTACCAACCAGCTTTAGCGCATGATTGTTACCATATATCTACCAGTGATCTCGGCGGCCAGATAGTCGTGTCGCAGAGCAAAGCGACCGATCCTAACTTCCTATGCTACGTAAATTATGACTGTAGAAGCTCTGGGGAAGATAATGATGGTTCATTCTGTATGTAGGTATGGACCATCGGGACATAAAAGTCCCACGTGACTGTATGGTCATAATCTAGCTAAATCAGGTCTGGTCTATTATCAGACCCTTACCTCCGATGAGCGGGACAAGCTGGGCGGCCCTCCCTTCGCCGTCCTGAAGTTCACATGCCACAATACCGCCAATCCCACTGAAGAAGGCTTCATCTGAATGTATGTTCAGATACCATACGACAAGACCCTCCGCAGTAGCTGGGAGGTCAGAGAGCTCCAAGCTGAAGCAGCCGTGTGCACAAAGAGTACGAGGCAGTGACTACACTTAGCAAAAACAAGTGTCAAGCAGTCCCAGAGCTTTCAGGCTATGGGCAGGATAGACAAGGACCAGAAGCATATATCCCCAACGGCTATCTGAACATTGCAGATCATTGACTTGGTATATTAGATATTTCGCTGGATTTCGCTTTGCTGCGAAGATTGAGGACCAACCACTATCCGTACTCACCTATGAAATGTGGGGTTTGGCCAAACCCCCTGAAAAGAGCGGCTGGCATCTAAATACGTCGGATTGGATCTGGTGGCGAAGGGGTAGGGACGATAGGCCACTGCGATAGCTTCGAAATTCATATTATCTCGTATCACCAGTACTTCACAGAAAAGGTAGTCCTATGAGATAACATACATGAACCCTATCTCACTTAGGCTCCACCCAATGCTCTGTGTCGTTATCTATTTCGTCAGCAGTACTTGCGATACTGCATACATAGAACATGCACTGTTTCATGGACACCTGAGTGAACGTACTACCAGCCCCCTGGGAGGCTAGAGGGGTTGGGATATAGTAGTTGATTGATCGAACGGGTGGGGAGTACCATACCTCCCAAGCCCCTGCAGGAGACCGGTATTACCTCAAGAAGACTGTTTCGTCATATGTCGAGATCCGTACTCACAACTCAGCTCCTGCATGTCTCTCAGGGGCTGTGCCAGCTTGATGACGAGTCCGGCGTGGTTGTTGGTAATCGCATCACTTAGTCTATGCGCCTGCACCCAAGGAACTTTCAGCTCGCCGACAAGCTTGATATTGAGTCCATTTGAATTCTAATTCAACGCGACAACATCGGGCGTTTTTTGTATCCGGAACCCGAGCATTTAAAGTCGGCGAACGAGAACTCGACCCATTTCGCCTCCAGGACCGCTCCAAACTCCTGGCCAATTGCCTGCTGGAAGCGGCCTTGAAGCCCGTGCTCATCTCCGACGCAGACTCTCTCTGGGTTATCATTTCTTGGGCGCAGGGCTTGCCGGGATGCTCCAGTGCCTCGGCACCACCTTTGGGCTCGATGATTATCGATAAGCTTCTCGTAAAAAGAAGGCCATGGAGACAGGGCTCCTTAAAATACCAAGGCCTGCCTTGTGAGTTTGAGTTCGATTATCTCTGCCTTGATTAGGCATCGGGATGTGCAATAGGAGGGGGGAGGCATCCGCCACGAGTGTTGCGCATCGCGTTGGAGGGCGTAGTGTATGGGCTGATTCTCAGGGTGGGCAATGGAATTTCGACGATTCGTCGACACCGAATCATTTTAGTAAAACGTTCCGTTTTAATTCATCTCACCTCGCTAAGGTTCTCGGAGAGAAGAAAAGGGTAAAACAACAGAGGGACGCCCGTCGCCTCGGCATCTCCTTAGCATACCGAGCCGTTCAGTCCAGCCAGCAGCTGATTTGTCCAGCCCTCTTTTATCCGGTGGAGAGTATTACGCGCCGAGGTAGTGAAGTTGGTGAATTTTGTGGTGGTCAGCCGCTTCTTCTTCTTCTTCGTCTTCTTCTTCTTGGGTGTGGTAGAGGGCGCAGAGGTCTCTGGAGTCTCGGGGTTTGTCGGAGGGGAACGGGCATCAACACCCTGCCCTTCGCGGACCTACTCGCGAGTCTCCGTGAGCTGCTCACCCACAATAACATCTTTAGGGCTATTCCATGATATATTAGCCTCAATGCATATATAGGCAAGGGTCCGCCAATATAGTTTCCATGAAAATCATGGTTTACCACTTACGTGATATTCTCAGGATCATTGCCCTTAGAGGCTGGCCTCCAAATAATAAAGCCGGCGCCACCAAGGAGCCCAACCACAACGATCCAAACGGCCCAAAAGCCCGACTGAGCCAGAACTTGTTGGCTTGCAGACCGAGAAGTCCCGGAGGCAGAGCGAGATGAGGTCGATTGCGTAGTGGAGGTAGGTAGACTAGGGGCGGGAAGCACATCAACGATGTTTATGGTATTCGGAATATTGCTTGCCATGGCTGCGATGTTGTGAATACAATTTTACGCTGCTGGGGGAAATACGATGTACCCTCTACGCAACATCGTGCCTGCTTAATCTGTACCAACTACGGCATAACTACGTTCATAGCTTCCTATTTTACAAAAAAAAAAACTTCTGCAGCTGGGAACCCTCAAAGCGTTTGGAGTAGGATACAAGTATGAGATTGAAGAAGACGAGACTGTGAAGTGCCCCGCTATGGTCAAAATCGACATGGTAGATTATCATTATAATACAATTCTACCTTGCCTCCTTAATTCGAACATCATGAGGCTGTAGTGAGAGAGAACCTCTTCCTATAATAGACTCAGGCTATTCCCGACCCACAAAGATCTACATCCCCACATCCTTAAGCGTTGACTTTGCTCCATCGCAAGCAGAGCAACCAGTCCATCATCTTTGACCCTCGCCGACTGTCTGAAACGCCTTTCCCTAGCCTTGGAGCGTTTTTCAACTTCCGATTTCAGATAATGGCGACGAAGAAGATGGTAAACATGACGTTGGGCATCGCGGTGATGGGCGTAACGATCTGAGGGTCAGATTCAGGAACAGCGAGGACGATGTAGGTAGAATGGAGCTTACCTTTGTGAAATTGAGGCCGAAATAAGTTTGTGGGGGTGGGTGGGAAGGAAAACGAAAAGAGTGAAGAGAAACAGAGTGTATGCCCCTTCGTAGTGCGGTGTTGCCTCAGGTACGATGGTGCAAGCCAATGAACACCAAATGATCATTTGACCCCACAAAGTCCATCTCCCTTCACTTAATTCCGAACTTTCCTTCTTTTCCTCTTCTGTGCTCTCAGAAATCTCTTCCCTTTTCATCCTCGCAACCTTCTTCCGCACTCTACATCTAATCTTCAAGATGACTGATATCTCTCAGATCTTCAAAGGCACTCAGATCGCCCTTCCTGGCTCCGCAGATCTCCAGCTGAATGCGAGTACATGGGTGATCGACGAGAAGCTTTATGAGAATAGAGTCGATGGAGTGCGTGAGCCTACTTCTGATCCCGACGAACAGCCATCCGGTTGGGAGGCTAAGTATCTATGTCACGATCAACATTTCCCCAATAATCACGCCTTCATGAGAGTCTACTGTCAAGGTCCTGATGAGGGAACAGAATTCCTCCTGCCGGAGGTTCGAGCCCAACAGGCAAATCCTCACTTTGAAAAGCGGGAAGCCAAAGCTCGGAAGAAGTTCAGCCAAGGTGGATGCAAAAGTGTACCTTCACTACTTGGATATGGCCAATCCACGCAAGGGGAAAACGGACCTGTACCTGGAGGATACATAACCTATCTTGTTTGGGAAAAGGTCCCCGGGCAGGTCCTCACTCCGGAACTCTTCTGGTCATTCGAGCGACCAAAACGTGATCTCGTTCGCCGAAAGTTCCGGGCTGCATATGAGTAAGTGCGGAGTCAAGTCTTTGAGATCATGCTAACGCAAAGTCAGGGATATGTCGTCCTTTGGCTGGGGTCCAGGAGGGGGGATATCACAAAGATTATATGGGACAAAGAATGCGCCGATCTATGGATCTCAGGGTTTCGCGCTTCATATCCAACTGACGACAAGTGGGGGGATCGCATTCTGGCTTATTTCAACTTGATCGAGCCACCACCGCGCGACGTCTGGGGGAACATTTGTGAGGACCTTGATAAATGGGAGTGGTGATACAGGCAGGTTTCTATTGATGACAGGGAGAACATCCAGGTACCGCTTCAGTGATCCTCGAAGGTAAACTCTCCGCCTTTTTTGCGGTGTGAGTATCTCTCATAACGAGTTCCTTCTTGGAGTAACTGCCCTGTTTTGAAGGTGCGAGTAATATTCTATTGTCTTCCAAGATTTTGCTTCGTGATCAATCCAATTCTTAACGATCTCCGAATTTACGTTTCCACCTATTCAAAGTTCACTTAATATCCCTCCAGTAGGCTCTTTTGCTCTCAAATATAACAATGGAGATGTTCCAGATCTTATCTAATAGGGTGGAGGCTTGTAGCCGAAATTTCTGGACTCTGCATGTATAAGTCACACTCGACTCTGTTTATCCTAAAGCTTATCAACGTCAGATCAAAGCTACGAACCCGCAAGCTACTTATCATAGGCCACGTTTTCGAAACTAAGGAATCATTCGATTGATATCAATAGGAAGAAGAAGTTATGCTATAATACAATTCTACGGCATTCATAATTATACGAACTAACTGCCAAGCAACTTCGGAAAACGTAAAACTCCAGTGCGAACAAACATCAAAACATCAAACACGGTGTCTCATCAATTCATAATCGGTAAGATGGTCGGACCGGCACCGCCTGGAAGCCTATGAGCAGGGATGGCCCTTATAAAAATGCCATTCTCAAGGAATTATTGCTGACATTGACAGAGTAATATCTACTGATCCAGATCCATCATAATATGTCCGAATCCTAATTTTGCCTCCATATTCTACCTGTGTGATAGACCGATTCGCCGTTTAGAGCGTGATGTCAATTTCGATGGATGAGGTTGAACGCTGCATGTCAGTCTCCGTGATATACTGCATACTGGACGTAATCAAGTCCTCGAGAACTGTAAAAGTCCAATGGAAGTCAAAGTTGATCACATATATCACGATGATGGCAATGATAGTGGTAAAACACCCGCTGTTGAAGCAAGCAATTATGCTAATCCATCTGCCTCCATGGCATTTGCGTCATAAAAATCTTGAAATGACGACCCTTCTTAATGCAAAGCGGACCCAAAATTGGCAGATCTCAGAGAGGCGGTGTCCTTCAGAGGCTACCATGGCCCCCGGGTCCCGCGTTTACCTTGCGTATGAGCCACTGCTTTGGCGAAGATTCCTAAATAGATGGGCTAGGTGTTTAGGTGGTGTAATCGCCGCAAGTTCTCAGGCCAGTATGAAAACCCTCAAATTGATGAAGTCGAAGCGTAAAAAGGCGTAGAATATCGATCATGTCGCTGCCAATTTGTTGCAATTAAATGTTTTGTCGGATGAAACAAACGTGGAGTTTTGTGGGAAGAACTAGTCCAGCAGGGTAGAGATCACCGGTTGCAAGTCGAATGCGTAGGGTGAGAATCGAGGTTGGTCAGATGATTGCCCAACGAGAGCAGGGCCCATGCACTCTTTGAATCCCATACTGTATTCGCCTAATATATAGAGAGAAGCGACCAGACCATTGGTCTATATATCAAGTGGCGGCTAGATTGAGAAGGGAGAAAGAATAGGAACACCCAAAGAAAGAACGGTCAGCCTACGAAGGTTCAGAGGGCGGCCCTGACACTCAGGGAGTTACAAGGGTGAATTGACGATTCCCTAATTTTACGACTACTCCAGATAGTAAATCAGATTGAAAGCAGCGAGGAAATTTGAGTAGGCTGACAAGTTTCATTGGAGACTGAATGGAGCGCTAAGTCAAGGCTTCTAGACACTTGATCACACATTCGACAAAGGAAAGGGATCCACTCGCATGGGGAGTTTTGTCTTCAGAAATACCCACACCTCTCTACATTGGTAGGAGAGGGGAGCTTACTCACAGCTCCATAAATGAAGCGGAGTTTTCTCGTGCCCTATTTTATTGATTCCACCCAGCTTTTTGGAGGTAGTTGGTTATCAACCTAGCCTTGCCCACGCGCCAGGATCGCAATATAGAAAAAGCATTCTCTCACGGTCACCACCGGAGATCCTTTGGTGTAGATATTGGACGCCAGAATCACTGGGGAGCAATCCACGACCCATGTCGTACCATCGTGGCGTTGTCGGAGAAAGATCGTCTCTTCATAATTCGACAGAAAGCCGTACATACACCCCGTCTCTTTCATATACCTGAGAATCTGGCCCACTAAGACTCGAAAATGAGAATTTTGGCAAAAGGGCTCGAACTTTAGGCGACGCTCGATACGGTGATGGACAACCTACGGCACCTTCAGCTCACCCACAAGCTTCAACTCATTCCTTGATGTCTTCATAGTACAATCTGGGACTTTTCCCCCTGGATTAGGAAGACATTTGAAATCGGCAAACCGGATATCAAGCCTTTGAGCTTCAAACACCTGTCCAAGTGTTTGGCCAATCGCCTGTTGAAACCTTCCCTGTACACCTGTCTCATCTCCGACAAAGACCTTATTGTCATCAAGATTGTGGGTCTTCAGAGTGTATCCGATAACGCTGCTGCTCCAATGTTGGTTATCCATTGTTGCTCGTACATTCTGAAAGAAATTTGGCCAATGATTCAATTCGCCGTTGTAAACAAGTGGGTGTACGGCATTGGAGCTCGTATGGAAATCTGTCATCAGTAGAGGAGGTAGAGCCGAGTTGACGGTCTCACGTACGCGGATTTGCTTACCCATGATGTAGATGAATGCTGTTGATGGTAATTTCGGAAGTGTGAAGAGCGAGATGAAAGTGTGGGAAAGATGAGATGGAAGCGAGAAACCACTAGTTAGGAAGGCAGGAGGGCTCTCCTCGTGCTTCAGTCCTTGCATTTTCAGATTTCAGACTTCCAATCTGTGACATCACATGACAAATCCATCTGTGAGGCCGACATCAACTCTGGCAGTTTTGACATCTTGGACGATTGACGCACGATCTTGACATGACTAATTTCAACGGCCCAGTATTTCACGTGCTCGCTCGTTACTACCGATAAATCCCTGGACCCTGGATCTGGACTCCCCAATCATGTCCAGTCTTCACGAGCTCCTTGACCGACAGCGACCAGGACGATGGCAGGAATTCCGCGCCCGGCCTTGTGTCTTCCTCGCAAAAATGCTTTATGGTTGGTATGAGCCTATTCCAGCTACACCACTCACAAAACCTATCGCGATTGTCTGTATCTCCGATACCCACAACACCCAAACTGACGTCCATGATGGAGACATCCTCATCCATGCTGGTGATCTTACACAATCTGGGTCTTTTCAGGAACTTCAAGATTCGATAACCTGGCTACGCAGCCTACCTCATCCCACCAAAATTGTGATTGCTGGCAATCATGACCTACTACTTGATTCAGCGCGGGATGATGTGTCTGGTCGAGCAGCCTCCGAGCGAGCTCAAATCGACTGGGGAGATATAATCTACCTCGAAAACGAGGAGATAACAATTTATTGCCCAAATGGTCGTTAACTGAGGGTCTACAGAAGTCCCTACTCTTGCCGCCATGGCAACTGGGCCTTTTAATATCCCCGAAATCAAGATATATGGGCTGACTCAGTACCACATGGAATTGATGTGCTGATTACTCATGGTCCCCCACTTGGTCATCTTGACTTACTAAAGTATGGCTGTCCTAATTTATTAAAGGCCCTATGGAGAATTTGGCCAAGACTACATGTATTCGGCCATGTACATGAGGGTTCAGGAACTGAGTTGATTCTGTTCAATAGGCTCCAGGAGGCGTATGAGGGCACTGTCGCTGCTGGAGGGGGCTTGAAAAATCTACTGTTTACAGCCTGGGGGTTTGCTAAGGAAGTCCTACGCCCAGCCGTGGAATCAAAATGTTTACTTGTAAATCCTGCCGTCGTTGGAGGGTTAAGGGATAATGAACGAAGGCAGCCTATCAAAGTTTTTATCTAATTTTACAATCTTTCTGACCAACTATATTGAATCCCACCTGTGCCCCTAATCTATGAACTCGTCATTTCTTCTCTACACATGGTGATGATTCTCTCGCTTTTTAAGGATATACTTATCTGTCCCATGATTTACCGTGATATGTCTCCCGATTTGTATTTATAACAGCTACTTAAATAAGCAATCCCGCTGCAATAATATCACTAGATACTAAGGTAAAACTTAGCATGCCTTTCTCCTCATAATCTTTGGTTTTACAAACAAAGACAGGTTCTCGAAAAGTTTAGCTGGACCGCAGGGAAAGTACAGAGGAGATAGTAGGAGGCTATTACTTTATTTTCCAAGCGTCAAGTCTCTACAGGTATCTTATCCCTGTGCTTAATATATAGAATGATATGATATGCGGAACTGAATAAGGGTTTTGGCTGCCATCAGTATCTTCGGAACGACTGCATCCAGAGTAGCGAAGCAGCGACTGCATCATCTCCTCTGGGTGTCAGCCAAGTAGAGGCCAACCCAGGGAGCGTCTGCGCTTCTCAATAATGACCCGACTAGGAAGTAAACAGATCAATCCTACTTAGTTTATCGCTTTAATTATCACTTTAAAGAAATGAGATCAACCATGCCCATCGTTCTCTATCTATTGTAGCCTTGTGTCGACTTGTAACACCAAATTAGGCTTCGCTCGATTATTATCTGCCGTGTTCCTAAAATAGGACTACAATATATATGTGTCTAGAGCACTCTTATCACGAACTTATATTTGTAAGAGGCGGGCCCTGGCTTTCCGAGGACACTGTATTAAAATATTAAGCAACTAGCAATGATGACCTCGCGATAAGAGCTGACTCAAGTGAGAAGGGGGAAGATGTGTCAGCCAACGCTATACTGCACCATGAATCAGTACAACACTCCTCCTCCCTTAGCACCGCTCATTCAAACACCATCTCACTCAGCGATAGGATTAATATCCATCTCCATCTCCTCACACCCCACCCCACTGTAAGTTTCCGCTGAGGTTTCCTTTGAGTGGGCTGGGGAGATGGCAGCTGCCCTCCGCAGCATCCACACTAGCAAACCGAACGGATACTCGAAAGCGCCCCGACGGCCGACAACAGCAAATTCCGACCACTAATAGATATTAGAATCGTGTTCTTGGCTGATATGAGCCAGCTTACCTTTGAATCGTGACTAATTTTCAAAAAATGCCAAACGGATCCAGTGTACGCCATGCCGTAGACACCGCTTCTGCTTGTTCTTACGTTCGCGGTGGATGCACCCTTTCATACCAATTAGCTTCCGCAAATAGAGTACAATACACATAGCAAGATACAAACCCATATATCCAAGGAGTTGGGGAATGGGATTGCTCCCCTTGGCCCCGCCCTTCGCCTCAACAATAAGGACGTTGAGGCAAAAGGCCTCGCTCTCGCCATACCAGATGCTGTAGTCTGGTCTCCCAGAGAGAGAATCACCCTCTTACGTTTGAGCGTAACCGGGCCGAATTTATAGCCTCTCGCATTGGACATTCAACGGCTGCGCATTTTGGATGTTTGAAGTGGCAGTCGCATAAGTGTTAAGAGTAATAGAGTCAACAACCCACCGAGCAGCGGCTTCAGCGGTTCTAGAGTGAGCGAATGCATCTAGATTCACAGTAGTAGAGAAACCGGGGCCAAGCGAGCGAAGGCAACACAGATTGCGCTCCAGGTTTTGTGGAGTTGACAAGTCATATAAGAGATAACGAGGGTGGCGGAGCTCGGTGTTCCGGATCAATGGCAAAAATGCCTCGTTGGAGAGGTTCAAATGCGTGGAAAGAAGCACAAGAGTGAAGTAGTAATCGAAGCTGTGATCTGGAGGTGGATCGAAATCAGCCACACCGCTAGTTGTGGTCTATTATTACAAATTCCACTCAACTATTTCAACAGTCCGATATGGTGTAATCCAGGGGGACAACGGAAAGACCACGGTTGTGCGTGGTTTTGTGGGAGATAATCGTGCTGATTCCGTATAGGTGTCACGATTGGCACTTGCGGGACTCGTACTTTCCCGTTTGGGATTGTACCGTTGGTCGTTCCTTCCCGTTTGAAGGAACTCGTTTGCGCAGACAGTCGTACCTTCCTTCTGGGGGAAGCGGGGATAGGGCTTTGCCCCCGAAGTGGTATAAAGATCCATTTGTTGTTTTTGCGTTTGTTTTCTTTTCTTTTCCTTCTTCATACTTGATATTCGTTTAGCAATGCACTTCTTCTGCTAGAAAGAACCTGGCACGTAACAATAGGCGGTTTTATAGATGTAATGAGGACTAGCGCCTATGTCCAACTGGGTTTAGCGCATAATTGTCCGGATCTTGCTGCATGTCTATAAGCCCGGCGGCTTTGTCATGGGCGATAATTAACTGATTGCCAAATTTGGACTTTCACTACGCATGAGACCGATAGTTGACCAGGTTTCAGTCCAGGCAGGTGTCCGGACCTGTATTTTTCACTTGTACTATATATCTGAATAAATATCTGATTTCTTTCAGGGAATCCTTATTAAGAAGCGTTACGTCACTTTCGGCTAACCGAGATTTTATTTTCCTTTGGGCTTCTCCTGCAATTAACCTTCTTGTGCAGTATATGTAGACCTTTTGAAGTCTATTGCGCTAGTCGATTCAGCGTGAAAGCTTGTGATCTCTTATATATTGTTTCGATATATATCCGTGTTCGAAGGCATAGAGATATAACAGGACAGAACAACTTTAGATAAGCCATAGGACAGGAAATCTAGTTGGTCCTGGACTGATAGAGCTGGGAAATGAGCACGAACGACAGCAAAAGAAACGCTCTGACAATATATAGCGAGTTTGTGTTGTACCGAACCTTTCGTATGACTCTTCCTATAACCCGAGTATTTCATTTCTTTTAAGGAATTGCAGCCAAGGTCCATCGTCCCCTCCGTATTTTGTCGTTACTGTTGAAAAGCGAGGCTTTGCTCCTAAACCGATCGAATTTTCCTAGGGGAGTTCGTCCGGATATGTTGCTATGACGGTGATAATTTTTGTCGTTGAAACATGCCCAGCACGAAACAGACACCGCAAACGTGCACATGTATAGCTCACATGACTCCCGACGAATTCTTCTCATCGTGCCAGCTATGGCTCAATACCAATAAACTTCCCTTCATCATTTTTTTCGATGTTTCGACGGGCGTGGTTGATTTTATCAATCAATATAGCTCGTCTATGCTTGCCCAGATATGTGACGATGGTCGGTGGTTTGCCGAGGTTCACATTCACAAGTTTGATCTTCAAACAATCACACTATCTGATGTCGACAGAATTTGTAGCAAAATGCCATGTATCATGTTCCATGGGAAGGGTGAATTTCGCTCGAAATTAACACCATGTGCCGCTAAAGGACTATCCTTTCCTATCTTGAACTCAATCACAAATGAGTGGACGTTGCTAAATGAAGGATTTTCTTGAGATCATACAGTGTTACTCGAAATCAGTCTTACCCTCAATCTCTCCCTCTTTATTTTCGAAGGCCTCACCTCAAGCGCACTAGTCTGTAATAGGATATCTTTCCGCGGCGTTGCATAGTTATATCCAAGTATCTTCGATGAGTCAGCCTAAATTACCGTAATCTCATCTCCAATTTTTAGGTGGTTTTACGAGGACAATGTATATACTCTTACCTACAATTATTTGCGTTTATATATATATCATCTGTAAATATGTGGTGACCAAGTTGAAACCCCCATACTAAGATATACTGGACATATATTCCACCATTGTTATGTTATGTATTATCACTAGAATATTGCTCGTTACTGTATGCTAACACATTAACGCCTTTTATACGAGAATTCCGTGAATTTTGTGGAAAGTTGTACTGGATCCCTGCAAACCATTGGTGAAGATCGAGGGCGGCGAGGATCTTCTGCCAGGAAACTGGGTGGAAATCTAAACCAGAATTGCCTCCAGTAATCTAATCTTGCTTTAACAACGGACCAGTCCGCCATATGACTCGTGAAGTGTATATTCTTCTTTTCTCTGCTTTCTCTACCTCGCTCAACCGCCGAATATTCCAACAACCGTAATTCATATTACACGAGTCTCTACTCATTCTAAAGCCCTCTGCATCATAACGGCCTCTTTCCAATGACGATAGGATATTGATTGAAACCGGTCATTAAGAAGAACTGGACGAAGCCCATCAGGTCGGTATTAAATGAGAATACATTCGCCAAACCAGCTCGTGTGGGGAAAACAGAATGGTTGATGCTGTACAAACGTTATATAAGAAAATGGGACCTTGAGCTTCGCCACATTAAGCAAAATTTGAGACCAAGGAAACTCTGCCAGATAAATGACCGAGAGCTAAAATACCTGTTCCGAACGCCAAACAATGGGGGCGAAAGTCCGGGGGGAGCCATAATACCCTCTTACCCCGAAAGAAAACCCACTGCTTGTCTAGAATAGATAGCTCAGCATTGCCTTCAGACCAAACCAAATCAGAATGGCCCTCAAGGGTCTTGTATAGCTCGCCTGTATTAGTGTTCCATAAACGGACGGTCTTGTCATCGGAGCTAGAGGCCAGCAGCTGACCGTCGGGTGAGAAGGCCACAGACCGAACGAAATCAGAATGGCCCTTCAGAGTCTGACGTAGCTCGCCGGTACCAGTATTCCATAACCGTACAGTTGTATCATTAGAGCCAGAGGCCAGTAGCTGGTTGTTAGGTAAGAAGGCCACGGAAGACCGAATAAGATCTAAATGGCCCTTAAGGGTCTGGTATATCCCTCCTATAATAGTATCCTATAACCGGACAGTCTTATCATCGGAGCCAGAGGCTAGAAGCTAACCATTAGGTAAGAAAGCCACAGACTAAATAAAGCTAGTATATCCTATAAGGGTTTATCGTAGCTCGCCTATACTAGTATCCTAGAGCCGGATAGTCCTATTATAGGAGCCGGAAGCTAAGACTTAGCCATTAGGTAAGAAAGCTATAGACTGTACCGATCCAGAATGGCCCCTTAGGGTCTAGCGCAGGCCTCCTGTATTAATATCCTAGAGCTAGATAGTCTTATCACTAGAGCCAGAGGCTAGTAGCTAGCGGTCGGGTAAGAAGGCCACAGACCAAATAGCTCCGGAATGGCCCTTAAGGGTCTGGCGTATCTGGTCTATACTAGTATCCTAGAGCCGAACGGTCTTATCGTCGGAGCTAGAGGCAAGCAGTTGGCTATTAGGCGAGAAAGCCACAGACTAAACGAAATCGGAATAGCCCTCGAGGGTCTGGCGTAGCTTGCCTGTACTAGTATCCTAAAGCCGAATAGTCGCATTACTAGAGCCAGAGGCTAGCAATTGACGATTAGGTAAGAAGGCCACAGACTGAACCGATCTAAAATGGCCCTTAAGGATATGGCGTAGCTCTCCTATGGTAGTATCCCAAAGACGCACAGTTTCGTTATAGGAGCCAGAGGCAAGTTGCTGGCGGTCTGTGAGACCCCTAGGTATAGAATGCCTAAGGGAATGCTGTATGTAATGGAGGATCGGGAAATAGAGATAGTGATATACGCAGGGTATATTAGAACTAATAGCTGCTTCTCCAAAGAAGCAGCATACAAGGATAATATACAGGTTTATGGGTCACATGACCTAAGGAGGCTGTACAGGCAGTACGCATTACTCCTGTCCAGTCCACAGTCCCCCACGTACCCAGGATAGGTACTCTACGTCCTATGACAGGGCTCATACCTCAGGTATCAGCCTTCTTAGTACTAGGGTCCTAATAATATCCCCCTCCTTATGGCATACGGTCCCCGTAGGCTCGGAATAGGAGAAGAATAAAGGAGCGGCTTAGTCTATTAAAACCCATACGTCCAAAAAACCTTATAGTAAGGGCAAAAAGGTGCGTAGGGAAAGGTATCCAGCCTCAATACTCTAAAATATATAAAAAATGATATAATAGAAGCATAAACAGAGGGTATAGTACATATAATAAGGTCTATATATAGTGTGGTTGTATAACCGCGCTAAGAAATCAGGCAGCCATAGTCTCTAACGAATACAGTATATTAGTTAGCCTATAAACTCAGGTATCTTATATATATAAGGTATAGCTAAGCAGTTATTTACTAGTAAGAGAATATAGTTAGGATAAAGGGAGATACTATACCTATATATACCTAGGGTATACCCTAGTATCTTCTTCTCTTCTTTAACCTCTCGTCTTACTTAATCTATAAGTATACCTAATTCGTCTTTTTATTAAAATTCTATCAATTTGATAGTACTTCTATTAGGATAAAACTATTCTAGTTAGGATACTACTATTAGTTAATAGATACATTCAAATTTAGTGGTATTACGTTCTGTATAGTATACCAAGAAATTTTAACGTTATATCTACCCCTTCCTTACGGGAAATAGCCTTATTTTCTAGTTTATATACTAACTATATTTATAGTATAGCAATAGCATATCGTTATCCTATACTACCCTCCTCTAAGGAGGATAAAACTCTATATCTATAGGTATAGCGCTATTATATATTAGGCCGCCGGCCTATAACTCTACTACCTTATCTAGTAACCCCTAAGCCTATTAAGAAACTACTACCTTACCAGCAGTGCTTTTTCCGGCTATAAAGCTACCTAAACCATAAGTATAAGACCCTTATAGGTTATACTAAATATACTTACTATACTTCGGTAAAGTACAGTTATATACCTATAAGTTAGCTATATTATTATAGGGAGGAATCTGTTACTAATAATAATATAGCTTCCTATCGAGGTTCAGTCTACTGCCTATACCGCTCTCGATATATTACCTATATCTACTCGTATACCCTAAGTATATATTATCGAGTAGAGCGTTAAGCGCTTAACCTATACAGCTAATAAGGCTAAAAAGGCTGCTACTATCACAGAAGCTATAGAGGTTGCGGTAGTTACTAAAGTTATTATAGCCCTAGAAGTTATAAAAAATATAGGGGATATCTCTAAAGTTAAAGAATTCTTCGATACCCCTACTAGTTTAGCAGAAGAAAGTACAGTTCCTAATATAGGTATACCTAGCGATACTTTATTTACCCCTATAAACTTAGCCCCTACCTCTTAGGATACCCTAATTATAGAATCTATTTTACTACTCTATAGTGTTTTTAATACTGTCCTATTGGTATTCGAGTCTAGCTAGGTATACCAACCTTACCTGCGCCTATATATAAATCCTATTAAGTATAGGGAGCGTAGTACTAATTTTTAATTTATAATTAAAGCTTCTTACATTTTAAGTATATATTTTTAGTCCTTATCTTCTTCGGTATCTTTATAGCTATATTTAACCTAGCTTTATAGTCATTAAGGGCCTTAGTTTCTTCGACTATAGACTACAGTTCCTAGGTTACTTCGATATTATTATAGCTATACTACTTAACCAAGTAGGACTTATTCTTCTTACCTTAATAGGATAGGATATATTTGATTTCGTACTCTACCTAATTGTTAATCTTAATTGGTTCAGGAGTATTATTATCAGTCAGAGTATCACTATAATATAATTCTAATACTAATATATAGTATATTAGGTATAGTAATCTAAAACGGGGGGATAGATATAGCTTATATACTTATATACTAACCTTCTTAAGAATTAGAAATAGACCTAGTATTTTATAATCTAGTTTCTCACTTAGCCTACCTATTTCTATATTCTTACTCTTAAGATATACCTAATTACTAACCTTAAAGGATTTGTCTATATAGTATTTGTCTATATAGTACTTTATCGACTCTTTTGCCTTAGCGAGTCACTCTTTTATAAAGCCCCTTATTTCTTAGATTTCCTATACCCTCTATATAGTATCTATATAGTACTCTTTAGGGTACTCCTTAATACTATCTTAGATAGATAGGTTATAACCTATTAATACTTTATATAATAACTTTCTAGTTATACTATAAGTTATTATATTATATATAAACGCTGCGATAGGTAGCTAGTATACCTAGTTATCTTACTCCTAGTTAATATATAACTAAAGGAAATACTCTAATACCTAATTTTAGCGTTCAGTCTAGCTATCGGTTTAAGGGTAGAACGTAGTGGATAACCAGCGCTTAACTATAAGGAGAAAATAGAAGGTTAACTAGAACTAGCTAGTAAATAGGCTACCCCTATTACTTACTAGGTTCTCTAGTATACCGAAGATCGGAATCATATATTTATATAATAAATCTACTAACTTAGGTATATCAATTTCTTTTATATAAGGAAGATAAAGCCTAAAGGGTATACTTTATAAATATATCTACTAAGATAAGTACTACGTTATATATCTTACTATTCTACCGCGATAGAGGTATTCTAGTAATAAAATCTATACTAAGCCACTTACTAGGCCTCTTAGGTACTAGTAGTAGCTGTAATAATCTATATAGCTTATACCTATAAACCGAATTATATTAATAACTTATATAGTTATATATATATTCCCTTATATCCTTTATAATTCTATACTAATAGAACTTATACTAGATAGCTTCAAGGGTATATTTACTAGTATAATGGCCCCCCTAGGGGTTATTATAGTATATCTTTATAATTTTATATAAGATTATAGTCTCTCTTAGGATATAAATACAGTTATTAAACCTAAGTAGCCTATCTAGCGTTAATCCCTAGGGTATATTACTTAGCTTTTATTTACTAATACTATCCTCCTCTATTTTTATATAGATATCCTGCGATATTAGATCGTAATCCTATATTATATAGAGCAATTCTACTATAGAGTTCTTTAGTACTAGTATATATACTATTTTACCTTAAAAAGCTCTTATAGCTATTAGGTATAGTACTAGGGGGTCTAGAATTCCTATATCGCCAGTAGTATAATACTTATCTATAATACTTATATTATAGGTATCATATACTATATTATTATAGTCCTCTACCACACTATATAGACAATTAGATTTAGGTACTAATATTATATTAGCTACCCTCGTAGAGATATATAATTTTAGATCTAGTATCGCCACGACCCTATATACTAGGGTAGATTACAACCTTCACACTACTTCTTTATTATTACTAAGACTCTTTTACAGCTTTTCCTAAAGAGTAGGCAAAAGTAAGTTCTCTAAGAACTCTCTCTCCTTAGGTATATAGTCTAGTCGGTAACTAGGTATATTAGCGGGATTTAAGGTTCCTAAGTGGTACTTAATAATAAAGTTAAATATAGTAAGCTTCTCCGCCTACCTTACCTAACGCCTAGTCAACTCCTTTATAGTTATAAAGTATTATAGGTTAGTATAATTAGATAGTACTAATATAGGGAATTTACTACCCTTAAGATAGTATCTCTAATACTTAAATAACTTAATAATTGTAAGTAGTTCTAAATTGTGCATTTTATAGCGCGTTTTGGTACCAATTATCTTTCTAGACTAGAAAGCAATTAGGTACTAGCGATCCTTAGAATCTAGCTATATAGCAATTACTACTATAGTAAATCCTAAAGTATCTAGCTTAATTTATATAGGCTTCTCTAGATCAAAGTAGAATAATATAGGTATACTTAAGAAGCGTTTCTTTATTTCTTTAAAAGCTACCCTTACTTTAGGTATAAAGACAAAGCCTTACTTTTAATGATTCATACCCTTCTTCTTTAGAGTACCCTTTATTAACTTAGATAGAGGTACAGCGATATATAAGTAATTCTTAATAAATTACTAGTAAAAATTACTAAAGCTAATAAATTATTATATATTATATAAGTATTATAGTTCTAACTATTCTAAGATAGTGCGAATCCTCTCTAGCTCTATAGATATACCCTTAGGTATAATAAAGAAGCTAAGGAAAGCTACTAACTTTATATAGAAGGTATATTTCGATATTTTTATATATAACTTATATATACACAGTCTATCTAGTACCTTACGTATATCGCGTATATACTACTCCTTAGTTTATAAATAAATAAGGATATTGTTAAGGTATATAACGTAGTAGATATCGAGTAGATCGCTTAATACTCTATTAATATACAACTAGAATATCGCAGGTACATTTACTAATCTAAATAGTATAACTGTATACTCAAAATAACTGTATTAGGTCTAGAACGTAGTTTTCCATTTATTACCCTTATGAATTTAGATATAATAATACATATCTTTCAAATCAAGCTATATAAAGATCTTTACACTAGATAGCCGATCTATAATCTTACCAATTAGCGGCAGAGGATACCGATTCTTAAGAGTTAATATATTAAGTCCCCAGTAATCTATATATAGACGTAACCCTCTGTCCTTCTTTAGTATAAATAAAATAGGTATACCCGCTAGGCTCTATAACGGCCTAATCTAGCCCTTCTTAATATATTCTTTAATATAATCTCGAAGTACTGCGAGTTCTATCTTAGAAAGGGGGTAGATTAGCTTATAGGGAATTTATTTACCTACTTCTATCTCAATAGTATGGTTATACTTATTACTTTCTAGCAACTTCCCTACCTCTTTTAGATCGAAGATATCGGCCTAGTCTAAATACTAGATAGGTAAAGCTTTCTCTATACCCTATACCATAGCGAAAAGCGGGATAGACTTACCTTTTATAATCAGATAAGGATATACTATAAGTATAAGGGCCCCACAGAGAATCTCTTATATAAAGGCCGCCGCAGTTATCTTTTTAATCTTTTTACTAGATAGGCAATAATACCATACCTGGTTTTTCTAATCAATATTAGGATTAATAGATTTTAGCCAATTGTAGCTAATAATCATATTATAACCTATTATCTTAACTACTTTATAGGAAAGTATATGGTTATATACTATACCCCTACTATCTCGCAGCTCGCTATTTAGCTCGTAGGAGTTATAGGAGTAGACTATATAACTATCTATAGCTATAATAGGTTTCGGGAGGCCTATATCTATATATAGAAGGTACTGTTTAACCTAGTTCTAACTAATAAAGGTTTTCTTAGCCTTACTATCTATTAGTATCTATATAGTTCGCTTCCTATTATTAGTTTTAATACTAACTTTATAAGCGAAAGTAAGTTCTAATTCTTACTTAATACCGTTAAGCCCTAACGCTACTAATACTACGAGCGCTAGGGTACTTAGTTTTTTAACTACAAATCCCCCTTAGTCTCTTTATAGGTATCTACATAGTAACCTGGTTTTCTATACTTAAAGCAGCTACTATAAGGGATACTATTAGGGTTTATTTTTTGTTTATCGCGCTTACGCTTCTTATTAGGTTTTTCGCCCTACTTATCCTTACCTTTATTTTTGGACTTATCCTTATATTTCTTCGTACCTAGTATAAATAAGGTATAAGAGCTAAGACTAGTATCTAGGCTTAGATCTATTTTAGTAGTATTATTCTTACTATTACTAGCGCTTTTCTCTTTCTATATACAAAGTGCTTTTTACCGGTCGGGGATTTGGCTTTCTACTATAGAAAGGTATCTAATATATACTTCGTACATTTCCGGCTTAGTAGGCTATTTTAACGACTTAGTATAAATAGTATCAATCACTTTAGCCTAAAGGTACTCCTTCTAGTACTATTAACTGTATAGGTGCTTTAGGCAATAATAGATAGCGTTAAGCTATATTGCAAATATCTGTATAGATTAATATTACTTCTGCCGCAGAGTACTGTACTCTAGTATACTGTCTCAGTAGATATTTTAAGGATTATTTATAAGATATAGGCAGAAGTCCTAGAAGTCTTACTAGGTAGTAGGCTCTTTAAATATCTTTACATAAGACTACCAATTATTATTCCTCTAGTTATCTAATTATTCGACTGCAGCCTCTACCTTATATAGGCCGAAATTGTACTATTACTAGTACTTATCGAAGTATAACTAAAATTAGTTAATAAAGGTATAGTATTCCTAGGTTATATTTCTATAGAATAGTTTAACGTTCGTAGGCTCTCTCGGTATACAAATATAGTATTTTTCTATGACCTATAGTGCAATGTGGTCATTCGCACTTATTAGAGTAGGAGGCTTCGCTTACTCTAGGATTTCCAATTCTATAAGGAGGTTTTAGTATTCCTCTCTTACTTTTACTTCTTTAACTCGTTTCCTTAGTTAATCGAGTATTAACGGGGACGGGTTCGCAGGGTACTGCGCTAGCGTTAGATCTAGTAGTATAGTGGTTTCCTGCATCGATTCTAAGATATCCGTAGGAGGATAGTTTATAGTAGGAGGAAGGCTTTGATTGGTCGAAGCCTATTCGTTAGGCTGCAGTATTATGGGAAGTCCCTGCGACCGTGTATTGCAAGGGTTCGATATGGTACAAACGAGGGGTAGTCTCTATCGGGTAATCCGAGTATTTGAGAGCTATTAGAACTGTAAGACCCCTAGGTATAGAATACCTAAGGGAATGCTGTATATAATAGAGGATTGGGAAATAGAGATAGTGATATACGCAGGGTATATTAGAACTAATAGCTGCTTCTCTAAAGAAGCAGTATACGAGGATAATATACAGGTTTGTGGGTCACATGACCCAAGGAGGCTGTGCAGGCAGTACACATTACTCCTATCCAGTCCACAGTCCCCCACGCACCCAGGATGGGTGCTCCACGCCCCATAACAGGGCTCATACCTCAGGCATCAGCCTTCTTAGTACTAGGGTCCTGACAGTCGGGTAAGAGGGCCACAGACCAAATAGTTCTAGAATGGCCCTCGAGGGTTTAGTATAGTTCGCCTATACTAGTATCCTAGAGCCGGATAGTCTTATCGTCGGAGCCAGAGGTAAGTAGTTAGCTATTGGGCGAGAAGGCTATAGACTAAATAAAATCGGAATGGCCCTCGAGGGTCTGGTATAGCTTACCTATACTAGTATCCTAAAGCCGGATAGTTATATTACTAGAGCTAGAGGCTAGTAATTAATAATCAGGTAAGAAGGCCACAGACTATACCGATCTTAAATGGCCCTTAAGGGTCTAGTATAGCTCTCCTATGGTAGTATCCCAGAGCCGGACTATCTTATCATCGGAGCCAGAGGCTAGCAACTAACTATCGGGTAAAAAGGCCATAGACCGAATGCAATTAAAATGGCCCTCAATAGTCTGATATATCTCGCCCGTATTGGCATCCCAGAGCCGGATGGTCGTATCACATGAGCTAGAGGCTAGGACCTAGCCGTTAGGTAAGAAGGCCACAGACTGAACAAAATAGGAATGGCCCTCCAGATTCTGTATTTCCGCACTCCAAAACTCCTCAACCCTAGGCAATTGGCCCCAAGCATTCAACTCGTTTTAAAAATGTCTTTTAATTGTTAAGTTATTCAGAGCAAAAAGAAGTCCTGAGGTATAAAGCTGAAGTAGAGTAGTATCAGCTAATTAGCGATTTTTAAGAACAAACCGCTGTGCGTCAGAAAGAAATTCTCTGTTTCCAGAATAATTATCGCCCTATATACATTCGTATAAGTAGAAGTACGAGTAGTCCTCCTAGGAGACATACCAGTGAAAGTGACTCTAGTATTTTGATTGTCACTACTACTTCAGACATATATCCTAAAATACTCATCGCTTCCAACCAGTGAAGTATATGTTTCTCGAGGAATTAAACTGCCTCAATAAGCGCTTTAGAAGGGACGTGGCCTTATACTAAGTATATAGCCCAATATCGACAGGCGTATTTCAATTCGGGGGGAACATGATGCCGAATTAAATCTATATCAATCTTATAGCGTTACATGCCTTCGCTTGGTAGATTGCAGATATTTTTCCTCAGGCTATTCTATATGGTCTGAAAGCATTGTGCTATAAGACCCTGGTTTACAAATTTCTCATCGATCTAGAATTCATTTTTGTCTTTGTAGTAATCTAACAGAAAGTCTCGGAATGACAGATAGAGAATCTTAACGGGTGTATCGAAATCGCTCGGTACATTAAGCACTGAGTGAAATCGATCTAAGCGACATTTGACATCATCTGTTTCTCTATCGAGAAGCTGGCCTAGAGCGTTAATCGAGAGCGGAATAGTAAGAATAACAACAGCTCCAACTATTTCCTTAAACTCTAGAAGTAGTTTCTGCGATTCCCCTTCATCTTAGCTAGTAAGAAGTTATTTTAGTACTAGAATATACGTACTATCCATCTTGGATATATAACTCGATTAATCATTCAAAATCGCTTTAAGCCGCTTCTAAGGGTTCCAATTCGCATTACTAACAAATCGATATAAGGTAACCGCTATAATAAATAAGGGGACAGCTCTCTTAATTAGTTGCTTGATAGCGGCTTCGCTAGGCCAATCTAGGCGAAATAAATGTCTTTGCCTTAAATGAACGATCTGATCCTTAAAATATAAAGATATATCGTATTCTATAACTAACTTAGGGACATCATAGAGGATTAAATCTTGGTAGGTACCAGTAATCTTATTAAAACCCAGCCTAATCGGCAATTCAGGTCTACTTGTTAACAAAAATCGCAGTTATACAGAAGTTAACTCTTGAACCTATAGCAAGAGTCGGAGAATAACTTCTATATCGTCTTCTAAACAGCATTTATCTAAAGCATTAATCACAATTACTCTAGTTATAGTCTCCTTACACCATTGAATTCCTAAAAGTAGGTTTAAAAGAAGCTTTTTAAACTATTCCCTCAATATCTTTTCTGAGATATTCTGATCATCGCCAATTGCCTTTTGAACTTAAGGGAGCATTTGAGGTATATTGGTGACTAGTTGCTCGACCAATGTAGGGAAAAGCTTCTTTACTATTCCGCGGTCCTCTTCGCCTCTCTTAAAAAAAAAAGCTCGCTCTAAGAAGTTGTTGCTCTTTAAGACAGTTTGCAAATGTTCGGGAGATTGTTAACTTTCCAGTTCCTACCATGCCGTTCAACCAAAATATGCATTTTCCGTGTGGTGATTTTGTCCACTCTTCGAGTTCTTCAAGTAGCTCAATTCGGGTTCCTGGAAGACATTCACCATATTGATTATCGTATGAATCAAATGCTGCTCCTTTTGCACTCTGTAGTTTGCTAAGGTCCACCTTTTGATGAATCAAATTGGTGAATCTCCTAGTTCGGTATTAGAGTTGGCTCTTGGTAACAATCATCAAGCAACCGAATTGTGAATAGGTGCATACGTTTGATCAACCTGCAAGGACAAAGCAAATGTTGTTTTGTACCACTCAAGCTCCATGATAGCATCATCTAACTCCGACCGTGCCAACGGCCATCTGAAGGCTCGAAGTCCCCATTTCCTCATTCCTCTTTGTGTTGTTTCCGGGTCGATCTTATCTTTTAACCTTGCAAGAGCTGAAGAGCATTTTGCAATTGTGTCGACCAGGTCTTGGGTAGTAGTAAGTTTGTTACCATTGGATCCTCGGGTCACCTTATCAAGAGATTGAAGAACTTGTGCAAGGGCGACGATCTTCTCTTGGAAGCGCTGAATATCCTGTGTCGCATTTTTGACGTTGTTGATATATTTTCCACATATTTGGACGATGGTTCCGGTTACTTGGACAAGTGCGATAACACTTGCTGCACCAGAGAGAGGATCCATTATCAACAAACTTTCCAAAGAATCGGTAATATAAAGTAAAGAGTATTGTGGCCCAAAGCATGATAGACAATAATAGAGCTGATGCCTTTCGAAGAGGGGTAGGTGTCAAAGTCACGCTAAGAGCGAAACTGGATCTTGATTGGCTTGCACGATCCATTACGACCAGTTGACTTACAGAAGGACGTTCCGTACTCACTGTGTATTTGATGCTGCTTAGTACTGTAACATACAAGGCGCATTTACTGTGTCCCTCAATTTAACGCGGCCCTCAATGATTATCTTCGCTAAAGCCTTGGCGGCCTCAACCACTTCTTCGCTGTTTTAGACTTCCGCTCCTCGTCCGAAGAGTTGAAGCTCCCGCACTAAGCTTCCCTTTTGTGGATTTGTGACACCGTTGTGAACCAACACGTCAGCAGTTTGGACATCTGCGTCTCGTCGGTTAACTAGAAGTTGCATGACTTGGAGGCTAAAATTATTGGATGTTACAGACCATCACTTCAGTGAACTTTAAATTCGCTTCTCGATGGCCAATTAGAAGCTTCATCACCACGCTTCCACTATATCGGTTTGCAGCTGCTGCTATGACCACTTCGTCGGTTATTGGACGTCCGCTCCTCGTTGGCCAAGAAGAAGCTTTATCACTGCGCTTCCACTTTGCTGATTTGTAGCAGCGGTCCTAAGCACATCTCCATTAATTTTTAAATCAAAATTCCTGATAAGCTACTCCACATCGCGCTCTAGTCCCCACCTCGCTGCCCAGAATGAAGATGAATTTATTTGACGAATGTCATCCATCCAAATGGCTAGAAGTGTATTGTAGCCCATCCAAAGTGAGAATGACCCTTGCCTACATTAAACAGTTTGGCTGCCTTGGTCATTCTTCTATCCTCCCTCATAATGACTTGTTACATATGGAAGCGCCAATGGTTCGCAGCATAGCTTGTTAATTCCTCCCCCGGCACTGATTCCAGACGGCGGCGGCAATAATCCAGATATTTCCATGCTAGAACACTTCATCTTCGTTTTTAATACCAATTTAGCCTTAAAGTCAACTGACAATGAAGCTAGTAGCTTGCCCCCTTTAGCTAAGTGTTCTGTGAACCCTTTACAGCGGCCTGTGATATCTCACTAATAAGGACAACGGTGGAATCTATGTTCATTATATCTTAGTAGAGGGATTTCAACTTGGGTCGCCACTTGATTATAGATGATATAGTAGCAAATAATTGTAGGTAGGAGTATATAATTTGTCCTAGTAAAACCACCTAAGAATTGTAAAGAGATGAGATTACGGTAATTTAGGCTGACTTATCGAAGATACTTGGATAGATGTAAGGCCGCAAAAATATATCCTATTACAGACTAGTGCGCTTGAGGTGGGGCCATGGGAAATAAAGAGAGAGAGATTGAGGGTAAAACTGATTTCGAATATAGGAAAATAGATAATGGGGGGTTATTACGGCATTTGAGTGGGTATGAATGGAGACCGTATGAGTGGTATGGTCTTTGAAGCTTGCGCTGGTTGATGATGTTTTTGACACCTGGAGAAGCGACATATCAGAAAGGTTTACAGAGGAATTGAATTGGGATAGAATGACGCGATGTTGATAAAGGATTTTATTTGGGCGAGATATTGGAATAATCGGGAGCTGAAGGGAGCACCGCAGCCGCTCCTGCGGGCACCTCAGCGGTAACAAATGGGCTTTCATTGGCTTTTTTTCCTTTGTCACCTCAGTGCTCGAACTATGGTGGCTGTGTGCAGATATCAGGAGACCGACCGTTTCAGGGGAGACGTTGCAATCCAATGGCGTTGTACTAATTCAGCTGAAAGGGCGAGTGCGAATAGCCTCGACTCCCTTCCTTTAAGAGCAATCAATAGAGCAGATTACAGATGATTTCAATGCGACTGCCTGTTCATGAGTGTACCGCTGTCTTGCGCAGCGTCTCGCCCGCTCTGTTGATCCAATACGCTTTGGCTATGCCACGCTTTGACCTTTACTTATGAGGCTGTACTCGAAAAACGTCTGAAGCCCAAGTTGGCGAACCGTTATTGTTCTTAGCAACTTGGTTGTGTGGAGCCTTTGGTATCCAAATTTAGCCTGTCGCTCAATCGATGCGGGCTGACTTTCAATTGCTTACCCCGCTCCACTGTCATCGGTAGACAATCTGCTCTGCGCAGTCTTGCAATAATTTATGTCAAAGGTTCTGACCATCCACTCCTATCCAACTGTTTATCACCGGGATCAGCAATGAGCTTCGGCTACAGTACCGGCGATTTTTTGGCCCTTCTGGAGCTCGCAAACGAGTTGCGGAAACGGTTTCAAGATGCTCCGACCCAGTACAAAGATGTTTCAAATGAGTCAGTCTCAACTATGAGGTATTCTATTAGTATATGCAATAACTTTTCGAGTTTCTAGCGTCAAGAAACTTTCCAATGTGCTCAGAGTCATCGAGGATTACGAACCTGAACGAAACTTGAGTGGTCCGCAAACAGGATCCCTGGAATTGCTTTCTCAAAGCTGCCATGAAGTCCTAGATAAGCTACGCGACAGCCTTGAGAAATATTCCCACGTGGTGTCTGTTGATCGCAGTGCAAAAAGTAGCATCCAGCGAGCATGGAAGAAGATTACTTGGGACTCAAAAGAAGCCATGTACTTTCACGAAAAGATAGAATCGCAAATCAATCACTTCAGCCTTTTCCTTGCTGAAAGTACTCTGTATGTCCTTGATTCCACCATGTCAAAAAAACACGCTCTAATAAGCACCAGCCAGGTGGTTCGAGAAACCAGAATCATGGTGGCTTCTTGTACAAATGGAGTAAACAAGATACTCGAGGATGGGGATGGTAAGAAGCGGTTGAAGATGTTGAACTGGTTGTCCTCAAATAATCCCGAAGTCAAACACGCCGGGATTTGGAAAGATAGACAAGAAAATACCGGCCAGTGGTTCTTGAAATCGGACAAGTTCCTGCAATGGTTCGTTCAAGATTGCGGTACGCCTCAAGAACGGCGCACTTTATTTTGCCATGGAGATGAGGGAGCTGGCAAGACTTTCATATCGGCAATTGTGGTCGAAGAACTTCGACAGCGCTTAGAAACCGATGATACTGTCGGAATTGCGATTTTCTACTGTGATTTTCATGAACCGCCAACAGTCTACGAGATACTCTCAAGTTTGTTGAAACAACTACTTCAAAAAAGCACGTCACAGCTAAGCGGCCTGAAATCTCTTTATGATGCCTTGAAGAAAAAGAGAAAGATACCCTACAGAAGATGAAATCTTAGGTCTTCTAGATTCAGCCATCTCGTCTCTCTCAAGAGTCTTCGTTGTTATTGATGCACTAGATGAATGCCGACGTTCTGGCGGATTTGAAGGAATATTGAGGAAATTTTTCTTTCTCCAAAAAAGACATAATCTGGGCCTCCTTGTCACTTCTAGATCAATTCCCGCCATTGCTGAGCTTTTCCAATGCAATCCATGGATAAGGATTCATGCAGATGATGAGGACGTCTCAATGTACTTGCGGAGCGGGTTGAGAGGCTTTCCGGCTATCCAAAAAACACCCGGACTTCAGTCGGAGGTCATTGCCACCATTACAGAGTCATCTGACGGGATGTAAGTTAGAACTCATCGCGAATACCTTGCTTGTGCTTTCAGCTCACTCTAAGAGTAATTTACGCCAGGTTTCTTCTTGTTAGACTTCAACTCGAATCCCTTCACGGGTACGAAGTTGCAACTGCAAAATCGATTCGCGACAAATTGAAGACCCTTCCGACTTCTCTAGAGAGTGCATACAGAGAAACAATGGAGCGCATCGAGGGTCAACCTGCCCTTCATACCAAGATAGCGAGTCTTGTTTTGGCATGGGTCGTCTGGGCAACAAGACCTTTGAGATCACTTGAGCTGCAGCATGCCCTTGCCGCTGCGCTTGAAGAGGATAGCTTTGACGAAGACAATCTTTACAGGGTAGAGGACATAATTTCCATGTGTGTAGGTATCATTACCATTGATGAGCAAAGCGACATTGTTCAACTACAACATTACACAAGGTATGAGTTTCTGAAGAATCACTGGACCGAGTTCTTTCCCGACCCTCATAGTCAACTGACGACTATGTGCATCTCATACATGCGCCATGAGACACTTCAAGTTGGGAATACTGCCTCACATAGTCAGCTCAAAGACTATCTTGAACGATTCCCTTTTTTTGAGTACTCGGCCAAGAATTGGGGCTATCATGCACGGATATCCTACTCAAATGTGAAGGAACAAGTCCACGCTTTTGTTCAGAGCGATATCGCCCTCCCTCAATCCCTTCGAGTGTTGTTTACCGATCGCTACTTTTCGCAAACCGGGCAATGGTGCTCAGTTGCAGTCTCTCCACTGCATCCTGCGGCATACTTCGGCCTTGAAGAATGTATCCTTTACTTTCTCGCTAACCACGTTACTCGTGATATGAAGGATGATGGTGGTCAGACTGCATTGCACTGGGCTGCAAGAAATGGACAGGTAGAAGCAGCTGAACTGCTTTTAAATCATGGTCTTAAAGCCAATTTGGCGGACAAGAAAGGCAAAACAGCTTTACATTATGCTGCTGACCAAGATGACTCGCGTCTGATAAAACTTCTTATACATTATAAGGCAGACATAGAGTCTACAGACATGGATGGCCAAACACCTCTTCTCACCGCGGTGCAAGATTTGAAGCTTGAGCCAGCTCAGGAGCTTGTCAGTCTCGGGGCCTCAATAAAGGCTATGGACTCAATGCATCGCAGTGCGCTGCACCTATCAGCCCTTGGGGGGAGTCGCAGCATCCATATCACCAAATTTCTTTTAGCCAGGGGCGCTTGTTATGAGTCATGCGACGTTGACAACATGATTCCGATGCATTATGCCATAGTCCAAGGATCTGAAGAGACCATCGAAGCTTTGATTCAAGCAGGAGCATGTGTAGACGCTGGCATCGTGAGGAAGAGATGGAAACGAATTGAAAAATCTGGCAGATGGAATTATGATCTTTCACCTGGAGACCAAAAAGCCTCGGGAACCCGGACTTCTCATGGCTTAACTCCACTTCATTGGGCCGCACTCATTGGCCACCCGGCAATGATCAAATATCTTCTTTCCAAAGGGGCAGATCCCAACAAGTGTTGTCAGGACGGCGACACTCCGTTGCACCTTGCCATCCGAGCAGATATCATTCGTAATTACAATGATGCTTGGAATTCATCTTCGTGGCGAATTGAAATCCTCAGTGATTTAGTTGAGGCTGGAAGTGAAGAGGCTGACGGTGCGCGTCACCGCGTATCCGAAATTCGCTCGGCTGTAATCGAAGTTCTTCTCTCGCATCCTAGCATAGACGTCGATCTTCAGAACGAGCAACTACAAACTCCATTGCACCTGGTTGCATGTTGCAAAGATGTCTCGATGGTTTCTTTTTCAAGATTGATGAGCAAGAAACCCGATCACTCAATTTGCAACTACAAAGGACAAACTCCATTACATCTTGCCAGTGGCGCAGGGAAAGCTGGAATGGTTAAACATCTTCTCGCTGCAAGAGCATCAGTTGATGTTCTAGATTCCGAAGGATCAAGTCCCCTTCAATACAGTGTTCGCTCTGGAAAGTCTACTGCGGCTGTTGTCAAACTCTTACTAAAATGCTATGACATGACTCAGTTGAATTCATGTACTCAAAAAGATGGGGCGGGCAAAAATTTGTTACATCACTATCTTCAAACAGACGCTCCCTCCCAAAAGCTAATTCTCACGTTGTTGAATCATGGCGCGAATGTGAATGAAATCGACACAAAAGGCAATTCCCCACTCAGCCTTTGTCTGCGCACGTCTAATTTGATATTTAACCGAGCCTCGATCTGTCGCTTCCTATTGAAAAATGGCGCTTCCATTTTGTGGACTGATGAATCAGGGAGAAATTTGGCTCATGTATCGATGCTTGCTTATCCTTGGATGCCGGTTGATGGAGTTCTCTCGACCCTGTCAGAGTTCGGGGTCGATATCGCAGCGAAAGATTCAAATAATCGGGGCATACTTCATCACGGAGCCATGTATGGGTCGGTAACCCAAGGAGTTGTTGACCTTCTACGAGGGAGCGCGTCACTTAGCCTACATGATCGGGACAATGATGGTAGAACCCCTCTTTCATACGCGGAGGCTAAGCTGCATCTGAATCGGGGATTCCCACGGAACAGACGGGAATTGACTCTCGATATTCTATTGAAGGCGGCCAATGGAGACTGAGGAGGATCCTGGCCGATTTCAATCCACTTGCTACTTTTCAACACCCGTGCAGTTTTATGGCTTTCTATAGATTGGTGTGGAGTGTAGAACTTTCATTTGTCATGAAATGAAGGTATAATTCCAGATTGTGTACCTGCCATGTCACCCATGGGACTGCAATGAGCTTAGTCTATGTCGCCGTTGCCGAAAAATTAATTGATGTTCTCACGGAAACTGCGTATGAAAATATCCGGCTTCATAACTCTCCTTTAACCGATTACGCCTTGTTCAGCCTGCAGGGTGAGGCGGGTTTCACATTCAAACGAGGCTGTCTGCCAATAGTTTTCATATCCGATACACAGAGCAAGGTACCGCACAAATGACTAGCCTGCCCATCAACTTGATTCATAACCACACCACAACGATGCTGCTATTCCTACGGAGCTGTATGTTGCGCTTTATCTACGGCCAGTATCATCACCACTGGATCAATTGAGCTCTGCTAGCCAGTCTTTCCATGTCTCGAGATAAAAGACAAAACGCGCAAGACTGGCCAGCACGGAGGCACACACCCTGCACATGTCCAGTCCGCATAACTTGTTCCTAGCCCTTGTCTGTCTCATCCTTTTATGAATATTGATCATGGAAACAACGGGGACTACGGTCACAGGCGCCTTGATGATAAGGCCGGGACGCGTAGGTATCCGGAATCGGTTGCGCGATAGACTAGTGTAAAATCGAGGGAGCTGGATATTTCCGCGCGAATCAAGGCGCCACCTCACAGCTTTGTAGATCCGAAGGCCGTTTTGAGGTATCGACATGACCGCCGTGAACTATTGCGGTCATCGTAAAAATAAAACTGCCTGTGTTAGTCGCATCAATTGCGCTTACTGAGCAAGTACCGGCTGACGCGAATCGCAGCCAAACCAGTCTGATCAATCAATTGAGCCGAGTAATCCGATCCCGGTCATATTCGGTTCCATATTGAGGCTAGCGCTCTTCAGCCAAGGCTGACGACAAGGCTCTCGCGCGGTGTCGGCCCTAGGGCAGATTTTCAGGCCCGCTGCATAGGGACGAATATTCTGATAAACATGTAGGGCGAATGCGCCTGCATGCGCGGAGGCCAAATATAGGTCGGTCGATTGACACCTGACGCCATGGTCGGGCCTGAGAAGGAAAACAGGGCCGGAGGAGGGAGGGCAGTTCGAATTGCAGACGCGGGGTCGCAGAAGAGCCGACGAGTCACACACAGGGGAAAGGGGGTGGCGGAGCTCAGGAGCTCGGTGATCCGGATCAATAGCAAAAATGCCTCATCTGTGAGGCGTAGGGGAGAAAGAAGGCGAAAAAGAAAATCGGGGCTGTTGGATGGAGGGAGAGCAGGGGACCTATATAGAACCACACACGGAGGCATAAGGACAAAGATCGCTAAACTTAAGGGGTCAAGTCTAAACCTAACGGGGTAATTCGCTGTCCCCCTCCGATATGGTGTAGTGGCTAACATCGCCGTCTCTCACACGGCAGCCGGGGGTTCGATTCCCCCTATCGGAGATTTTCCTTTTTTTTATTATTTCAACTCAATCGCACAATATTCTACAACATATGTTATTGGAAGGAAGCTCGAAGGACCTTGGAGGCAATATTGCCAAGAGTTCGGGTCACATGACTATATAATATCTAATCGGATTATTTCTTTTTTTTAAAAAAAAAAAAAGCCTTCCATATACATAACAGTATTAAGAGAACTCAATTGCGCTACAGTGCGACCGATTGCGAAGAGACCCAAGAAGACAAAGAGACTGTTTCCATCATTATCACAAACCTAAGTTGCCCATTCCATCAGCAAGTCGGTCTTTTTCTCCACCGAGACCGCGGGGTGCTATCAGTCGTGCCCCCAAAAAAAAAAAGAATCGCAAACGCACCTTAGGTCCAACAACTATATAAACTTAACCCTCCAAAATGGCGACAATTTCAACCGTCCAACCGGCCACAGATGCTGCCTCTTACCTCGACCTTGCGATCACTCTCACACTCCACAATTGGCCGGCCCTTTCACTAGCCGTGCAGTCAAACTGGGGCGGTGCCAACTCAAACGAGAAGCGGGACTGGCTTTGCGGCGCTATCTCCGAGATGCTGGCCGATCGACCCGAGACCGACACCGTGGATCTGGAGGAAGTGCTCGTCCAAGTGATGAACGACGAGTTTGACGTGGCGGTGGACGACGAGAGCGCTGCGGACGTCGCGGACATGATCATGGAGCTGAAGACGCAGACAGATCGAGGCGAGTTCGGCACTATCCAGCAGATGTTGGAGAAGTTCCACAAGAAGAGCCAAAATCGCTCTGCTGCGAGTCAGTTCCAGAGGGTTGAGACTGCAGATGAGGATCAGGAGACGGACGATGAGAGTGAGGAAGAGGATACTGAGATGGGTGAGGCGCCTGAGTTGGTGCGGGCTCCAAGGGAGCGGGCTGAGCCTGAGATTGACGATGATGGGTTTACGAAGGTTGTTGGAAAGAGGAGGTAGACCGGGGCATTTGTTGAATATGTTTTGTTTTATTTCCGATTTGCCTTGGTAACGACAGGAAACCCGTCGGATAGATATCCTTTTCTGTTTACATATTTGCATTTATTACCATGATTGATCGTTCATCAGACCTGGCTCGCATAAGCTACTCCCAATATCACTGGGGATAACCCAAGAACCCATCCATATACGGTTCAACCGCTTGGATTCATTAGATGGAGCAAAGTCTATATGCGGAAAGAATGTGGAAAAAAGAAATGTTCATCATCATCAGTTGTGGACTGTCTGTGGTATCATTACGCGACCTCTGCCCAACCGTACCTCCCTGTTCGGATTTTCTCACAAGCACATTGCTTTTATTTTGTGATTCGTTGCACTTTTGAGAATATAGACATTCAGGCACCCTCAGTGGCAAAATCACTTTACTGGGCCTCGGTCTCGGGAGTGATGAGCTTGGTAATCATACCAATAGCAATGGTTTGACCCTAGAAACGATACGTTAGGAAACAATATTAAGAAAAAGTGTGGAGGAGATACCTGATCACGCAGAGTGAAACGACCTAATTGGTTGTATTCTTCGTACGTCTCGACACAAACGGCACCGGCGCTGCTGGTAACCTCCAGACGGGCAATAATGGTCTGGCCCCTGCTGGCAAACTGAGGAGGACGCTTGCTCTTGCGGCCGGTGCCGGGCTCGAGCTTGTGAAGGAGAGCGGCGAAAGTAACCTCCTCGACAGCGGAGTGGACGTGCAGGACGCAGTTGAAACCGGCTGTCAGAATGCTCTTCAGATCCAAGATACGAATCTTAGCCTCGAAAGCAGATACGCAGTGAACGGGGCGCTTAGGTGAGCAGAGCACGAAACCAGGGAAGAAATCTTCTTCTTCGATACCACGGAGACGCAGGCGAATCTGGTCGCCAACTTTGGCGGTCGGAATCTCTTCTTCTGTTTCACCGTACATAGCAGAGATTTGAACCTCCTCACGGTTTGGCATCATGAGATAAGTACCACTCTTCTTAATGATACCGGACTCAATGCGACCCTCTGCCATAGTACCCATGTCACGGTACTTGGCGCTGATCGGCATCATGAACGGCGCGTTGACCTTACGCTCAGGGAGCTCGAACGCAGTCAGGAATTCGAGCAGCGATGGACCGTCGTACCAATCGCACACATCTTTGGGAATTCTGTCTTTGATACCGATAGTGCGCTGAGCAGAGATAGGCATGCAGAAGATGTCCGACTTCTTGTAGCCCAGGGCTTCCAGGAACTTGATAACCTTGATGGTGCATTCATCGAACCGGGCCTTGCTCCATTCGACGGTGGGGTCGTCCATTTTGTTAACAGCAATCACCAACTTGCTAACTCCAGTGTTGCGCGCAAGAAGTGCGTGCTCGCGGGTCTGGCCACCTTTCTCAAATCCAGTCTCGTACTCACCCTTACGAGCAGAGATAACCAAACAACCGAGATCGGCCTGAGATGCACCACCAATCATATGAGGAACATAGGACTTGTGACCAGGGGCATCCAAGATGGAGAATTGACGCTCGATATCGCCCTCCGGGTGCGGGATGGTGACCTTGAAGAAGGCACGGCCAACCTCGACTGTCTTACCCTTGGAACGTTCCTCTTGGGTCAGATCAAGAGCCCACGAAAGGTACCAGGTCTCTCGACCGGCTTCCTTGGCCTCCTTCTTGTATTTGTCCAGTGTACGCTCATCAACCATGCCGGTGGCATGCAGGAGGGAACCTCCAAGGGTAGACTTGCCAGCGTCGACGTGACCGATGAAGACGACGTTAACGTGCTCTCTCCGCTCACCGTAAATCTCCTTTAGGGTTGCTTCATCGACATCAGTTTGCTGTGACTTCGCGACGGCGTTGACCTCGCGAGCTTGCTTGGCTGCCTCGCCGCGGGCTGGGCTGGAACGTCCAGGGCTAGAGCGGCCGGAAGATGGCGTAGGAGTAGAAGTGCCAGTGGCAGCGGCCTTGTCTGTCTTGTCAAGGCTTTTGGTGGCCGCCACCTTTGAACCTGCCTCAGCAGCTGCGGGGCCCTTAGTATCACCATTGGCCTCCTTGGGGGTGGTGTCAGCAGGCTTGGCTGTCGGGATAGGAGTGCTGATCGAAAGGACCTTGGTCTTGGGGGCAGCGTTGGAGGAGGTGGCGCCGATAGACAGAACCTTGGTCTTGGGAAGGGCAGCTGATGCGGGCTTTGGAGCGGACTGGGCGGGTGCTGCAGCCTGGGGTTGCTGTTGTGCCGCTACAGGCGCATTCTGGCGAGGCTGCTGATTATAGCCACCGTATTGCTGCTGTTGCTGTCCATTGTTGTACTGGCTGAAGCCACCGGGCTGCTGGGCATAGGCGTTGTACTGGCCGTAGGGTTGCTGCTGCTGCTGGTAGCCACCATAGGCCTGTTGTTGACCATACTGGGGGTATCCCTGCTGGGGATAGCCAGCATACTGTTGATACTGCTGTCCGGGGACGAAGGAAGAGGCTCCAGGTGTGA